TAGCTCTGTAGATAGTCGTATAGTTACGTAGGCTGTATGGATATGTGTTACTGGACGTTTCCACATGCATTTACATGTAACTGAAAGTCATGACCACTTGTCGTACTGCTCCCACATGCCATTCGAATGGATTAGCAAGTGTACACTTTTACTGTTTGGCCCAGATCACGTTTCGTGTTCTGCAGATAAACATGAGTTTATGCATGTATATGACCTTTTCACCGTTTAGTTTCCCCATTCCGATATTTCAAGTGTAAAATGTTCTGTGTGGACATCCAAAACTTTTAACGCCATTGTTGTTGATATTTTTTATGCGAACCCAGTTAGTTTAGATGCTATGTCTGATTGTGTTTAGATTTAATAAGATACATATGTCAGTTGGTCCTACAAATATTTGAGAGCGTACTAAGACCTAGGTGCGAGTTCTATCCGAAAGTGCCCCCTGCACCTTTTTTTGCCGTCCAGTTAGGAAGGAGAGCCGACTCCACAAAAGCGACTTTCTGTCACGTTGCTAACGTTCTCGCATCATTTTGCCGCGTGCTCTGTCGATACAGAGTACGAAGTTCCCAGGTCACGTTTCGGAGAGCCGACCCGGTTCGCCTCTCCACCCGGCCCGCTTTTCACCCCCTTTTCCTGTTTGGGAACGCCCTTGGGAACGCCACGTCACCTACCCGGACTCGCGGAGACTCGCCCCGGCACTGCAGACATTGGCCACCCAAGCAAGATCAAGTCCTGGAAAGAAGTACCAGCTAAGCCCTTACTTTGTTTGACATTGTATAATTTATTATACCTTGTAAACCACACATTACTGTGTTTGATATTTTTTTTGTTCCTTGTGTACATACTCCAGTGAGTTTCGCCGTATAGTTTTTCCACCCAAAATCTTTCAGACTCCTTCCCAAGTTTGCCAGCAATTGTTGCAGATCCCTTCGTTCACTTTTTTCCTCTCAGTTGAGACTCTTTCTTCCGGAGCTGTTTCTTTTGTGTGTGCTGGTTCAAATTTGCCCGTTCTTCTTATATCTTTTCACTGGAGTATTACGCATTGAAAGTTGACATGAATTCTGTAACCGTTTTGCTTGATATCCTTGTATATGAATCACATCAGGTGTGCAAATAACAATACTTGTGCCCAGAATGAGGACCAACTGAACTCCTGCTATCTGCGTGATTTTTTTTTCCTTGTGAGCAAATTTCCGACTTTTTATCGAACCGGCATAGGCCCTCAGACATCTCTTTTCAGCGCTATCTCCCCTGCCATTGGTTACCTGTTTGTTGTACGCTCACATGTTTGTTTTGGGCAATTTTGATTTTTTTTCTTGAAAAGGGAGCAGAACAAAACTTTTTTCGCAGAAGCATTTCCTTCAGTTGATCCTATTTAATTCTTTCTTGTTGGTGGTTCATTGCTGAATGATTATTGTATGATGACAACCTTGTTGACGTATCCACATTTTTTTGCCTTTGATTTCAATGTGCCATTCACTGCGCTCCTGTATTCAAGTTGTTTTCGTGTTTATTATTAATGATGATTCATTGCTGATATCCGGTGAATAATTGTTCCTCCTATGTCTGCACCTTGATTTTCTATTGACCCGACTTCTCAGAATTGTTCACTGGTGATAATTTTGGATGAACCACACCGCTTCTTTTTTGCCACTTGTATATTTTCCCCACCACTTTTCTCGTGGATACTTTCTAGAAGTTGCATTTTTGTACCGTAATTTATTGTAACACCGTATCGACAGAGCACGATTGAGTTTTCCGAGGCCCTTAAGGAATTTTTGTCTGGCCATGGAAAGACCATGGAAGATCTCAAATCTCTCACGCTGGGCTCTGAGGAGTCAGATACTAAGGAAGAAAATGTTTCTCCTAAAGCTAGCCAAGTTGTCCATGTCATTGACAAGGTTTCCAGTAGGTCGTATCGCCGTCTGAGGTTGTTTTCCGGCAAGACACCAGTTCCTTCTGGCGAGCTTGACTTTGAGAACTGGCGACGCTTGGCACGCCAACTCTTGAAAGACCAAAGCATCCCCGACTCTGAAAAAAGGAGCAGAATAACTGAGTCATTAGTTCCTCCGGCTCTGAATGTCGTCTGGGCTGTGAGTGACGGGAGCCCAGCGCAAGAATACCTGACGTGCCTGTCCCGGGCATACGGC